TTAATGTGCCTCAAACACAATACCCACTACATAAGTCTCAATGGGAGCCCTTCACTACGCTTCTTGTTTTTAATTTGCTAAACCATGCTCAGCTGAGATTAGATCTCAAATCACTTCTTTTCCCCACCTCCCTTCTTTCACCAGAAACCACAATGGGTGTAACAGACTACTRAACAATTAACCCTACCCAAAATGTTGTCTTTGAACTGTATCAACTTGTTTCTTAAACACCATGGCTTATGAGCAATTTTGAGCCCATTGAGCCCATTYTGACCCACAATAATCAAAAGGGGGGAAAAATGAAAAAAACATTAGTTTGATTTTTTTTAGCTCTGGCCTGAGTGCATAGAACATTCCCTACCCCAGCTCTCACATTCTGCACCTCTGACCTCCTCACACACCTTAGACTTTGCCAGACAGGTGTACACACAATACCCACAACTACAGCTACTCCCAAACTGACCCACTCATCTTCCACACACATCCCCTTCCATTTTCACAAGGGAATGCTTCTTTATGTGTTAAGGCTCTCAAGTACTTCATGACCATGGGAAATCCTAAGAGTGAAGTAGCAGGCATGAGGCAGCCTGAAGTACCATCCTGGGAAGTTTAAAGTGTCCCACAACAACKATACCAATTGTGTAGGGCATGCACCTCATCTGTGGTATATCCCAGCTCCAGATGAGAAAGCACACTCCAAGAAAAAGGAAGKAATTAGTTAACTCTGAAACAGATTTTCTTTTCGAAACAAAACACCTGTGAGCTCTCACACCTCTGTTCTCCCCTGGAAAAATCACACTGAGCCAGCAAACGAGATTGTCCTACAATGYAGGAGCCCCAATCAAATGGCCCCTTTGCATTCATGTCCATTTCTCCCATCTGAAGAAATGTTGTAAGACTACTGATTTCTTTTTTTCCTCTTAAGCAAAATTATGATGCYTCTTTATGGTGTAACACTCGCAACACCTCACTACTGAATTTCCAAACCAGAAACAACTGCTAAGACTGAAYAGATCATTATGACAAGAATCTTTAAAAAGCTTTGGATCATGCATGTCATCTACCTCAAATTCATTTTTCTACATCTGAATTCATACAATTCCCAAATGRAAAGGTTTACATAAGATTTGAAAAAAAGCCTAAAAGAATTCACACTAATCCACGGTTGCGAAAAGAAATAATGTACTTTTTTTTCCTAAAGAGAGAGCATGCCCTTGAAGCTCAGGCTATAAATTAGGACTTAGGAGATGCAGGTTCAATTACTGGTTATTATTTAGATCCCCTGCAGCAGCATATACAAGGTCTCCAACCTTACCTTGAGTAGTATGATTACTAAATTGATTTTCATCATCTGAAGTAGAACTGAGGGTTAGTCCCAAGTCTTCTATCCTCTTCTTCTGCTTAGTTTGGATGCTGCTAAATTCGGGTTCTGTCCTTCTCTTCATTTTTTCCTAAAATGCTAAAAGAAGATGATCACACTTGGCGAACCTTAAGCAAATTAACTCTCTGTAAGACACAGCAGCATAGTGGCATCAATCATRTTAGGGGTAGTTCATTATTATGCTTCTCAAATGTTTTTAGGTAAAGTTATTGGCTTTGYTTGAATCTGACTTTTTAAACAGCTAGTCTAACTAATCAAATGGGAAACTGATAAGGAAGTTTCCCTATTACTGATGAATTTCAAATCACTTCYACAACCTACTTACCCTCACATTCAAGTAGATGAAGTCAATCCAAACAAAGACACTTGGATAACTTAAATATATGGCAGTTCATTATTTCTACTGGATCAAAGACTCATTTTATTCAAACACATTAAAAAAATGTAAGATTAATCTAACGGAGAATACACAAGGTAGAACCAATTCCTTACCAGAGACTCTGAACAACTCTGACCTCACCATTACAAACATTAATTGTTAATAAATTAATGTTTGGGGCTTTCCCACATGACTTTTATAACAGAATTTTATTAAGTATGTGTGCTCAAGTTCTGTGGGGCATTGTGTTTTTCACCAGGAATCATTGTCAAAATTTCAAGCATGTGGATGATAAGCTTTGCATAAACCTAGAGAAAGGTCTAAAGTTAAAAATAGAGCTAATAGAAGCCAGCTTGGAAGGCCTGCAGAGGACAAGAACCAAGGAAACGGAAAGCAGGTGAAAATGTAAGGCAGAAGTCCTTAGCACACCAGCTAAAATCTCCTTGCCACTGAAAAAAAACCCCACAATTAAAACATGATTAGTGTTTATTATTCTACATAGGACTGTTGTTGTAGAAAAGATGCCCCAGGTCACCAATTCAAACCTGCAGTTATCAAGCTTATAGCCACAAGCACATATACGGCAGATAAGGCCAAATCCCCAACTCTGATGGCAAAATGATCCCACAACCTCACTGCACTACGGCTAAGATTTTTTTTTTTCCACCAGAAGTTCTGTTACAGACAACTCACCTTTAAATTGGCTCTTGTCTCAATTTAGGGGTTTGTTTTTTTTCCTTGTTTATCTCTAACAAACTGTGCATGTTATATTGCTTTTGAGACAGTCAAATGAGAGACCAACATGCTCTTAGCTCACCCCACCAGTTCCCTCTTGAGACCTCCACCCTCCAAACCCCACTAAGGGTCCTTCAGYGTGTCTGCCTTGCTGACAAATTTCAAACTATGCAAAATTAAGTGCAAGTTAGGGACACCCAGTCCCTCAGGAGCCCCAGAGCTGCAAGGGAAAGCCCCTCCACATGCCCACCCATGCCCCACAACCCCCTTGCACCACACCACCAGGCTCTCACACGATCATTTAGGTTGAAAAAGACCTCTGAGGTCATCGAGTCCAATCTATGACCAAATACCACCATGTGTACGACACCATGGCACGTCCAGTCTTTCATTAAACATCTCGAGGGATAGTGACTMCACCACTTCCCTGGGCAGCCTATTCCAATGTCTAATCACCTYTTMTGGGGAGAAATTCCTACTGATATCCAATCGAAACCTCTCCTGGCACAGCTTGAAGCCATGTCCTCTTGTCATAGCTGTCTGGCAGAAGAGGCCGATCCCCACCTGGCTACAGCCTCCTTTCATGTGGTTGTAAAGAGCGATAAKGTTTCCCYCAAGCCTCCTCTTCTCCAGGCTAAACACCCCCATCTCCSTCAGCCKCTCCTCACAGTACTTACCCTCCAGACCGTTCACCAGCTTCGCTGCCCTTCTCCGGCTTCTCAACCCCGTCGCACCGCCCGCTGCTCAGCCCCCGGTGCCAGAGGCCGAACCGAGACGCGCCTGCAGGCAGAGGGCGGGCGGCGGGCAGACCGCGGGAACCGCCGGCGGCCGCGCCCCGCGCTGCCCCACACACCACCGGGGCCAGCGGAGAGCGCCGAGCTGGAGCAGCCAACGCTGACGGTGGAAGCGGAGCAGGCGGGGGGCTGCGCAGCTCCGAGGCGCTCCCGAGTCCGAAGGGCTCCCGCTCGCAGGGCGCGGCGAGGGGAGGGCAGGGCAGGGAGCGAGGCCGCCGCCGCCGCTTTCGTTTCCCCGCTCGGACGCGGCGTCGGCACCGCCCCCGCCCCGCCCCTCCCCTGGCGCGGGGCCTCCCCGGCCGCCGGCGCGCGGCAGTGACCACCGCCCGCGCGCGCCCCCAGGGCCCGTCCTCGCCGGCGGGCGGCGGGCAGCCCCGGCTGAAAGCACACCGAAATTGTGGGTAAAACGCCACACACACTCAGTAATTTGTACATATATTGGATATGAAAATGTGTGCCTATCGTGTATGGTAGCGGAAGCTGGGATATTTAGCTTGGAGGACGCTGAGGGGTGACCTAATTGCTCTCTACAACTCCCCGAAAGGAGACTGTAGTCAGGCGGGGCTCAGCCTCTTCTCCCAGGCAACAGCAACAGGGCAAAAAGACACAGCCCCAAGCTGCGCCAGAAGAGGTTCAGGTTGGATATAWGGAGGTACTTCTCTACAGAAATGATGAYTAGACATGGGAATKGACTGCCCAAGGAGGTAGTGGAGGCAGTCCTGGAAAARTTCCTGGAGGCATTCAAGGAAAAACTGGACATGGCACTCAATGCCGTAGTCTAGTTGACATGATGGTGTTCAATCAAGGGTTGGATTCAATTATCTCAGAGGTCTTTTCCAGTCTTATCCTGAGAGCTGTCTTGTACTTTGCATTAAGCTTGAAATCTGGGGACATCCAGCTCAGCATACAGGCCTGGACACCCAGTCTCAAAAAARCAAAATATGGTAGTATCAAGAGACAGGAGGATCCCATTTGGGAAGTGTAACTCATGGTTATCTAGTTGCTACAAGGTATGTGTCTAAATAGTGGCAGGACAGAAGTAAGAGGAGGAGGAAGTAAAGCATTGACTAGTCAGAGCATACCTTYAGGAAAGGAAATCCACGCTTCACTTAAGGGGAGGGGGACACAGCTAGCTTATTAAACTGCCTGTTGCAAGTTCTGCACAGTTAAATTTGACAGTTGTTGCCAAGGCTCTGTAGCAGGATGCTCTGCCTGGAATGATAAAARCAACTTGAACAAGGCCTATTGGAAAAGCTGTCTGTGGTAACTGAAGAAGGGGTCATCRCAGTGATTTTGGTGTTGAATAATGCTAAAACCAGCCTGACTCATCAACCCCAAACATCCTGATAGTGAGATGAATATATGGTAGACCTGGTAAAATACCCAGATAAAGGAAAAAAACAAGTGATACTACTGAAAACTTACCTAAAGTTGTTAAGCTGACTCTGTTGGCCTTGAGACATATGATTGACATATGAGCTATATGACATATAAAGTCAGTAACTTTATACTATAAAAGCCCAGGGCAGGGTCTTCTGACATGCCCTGTCTTAGAGTGTAGGAGTGGAGATTCCTCATTTGACTGGGCATGCTGCTCAAGAGTACTCCTCATTGAGCTGAGCAAAAGAGATTTGCCCACAGTCATTGGTATGGGTGAATAACATCAATCTCTAGGTTTTCTCCTAGCTTTAATAAAATTGCTTTAAAACAATTGCTTTAATTTTGCATCACAGAGCACTCTAATACGTGTTCTAGCTCCTATACAGTGTAGTAAATAATTCTGATTAAGATATTTTTGTCCAATCATTATAATAAATCATATATATCAATRTATATGGTTTGCTGTCTTGAAAAATCCTCCAGGATAAAGTTGTATAAAGRTTCAATTACGCCTATATAATCCTTTACACATAAACCATCAACAGTCTGGGGCTAAGACTGSATCCAGCCACATCCAGAGTCCTCTCTGAGAAGGATTTTAGAAGGCAAGGGGGCCCTTTTCTGTACCTCGTGATTCAATGGGAGGGCTTCTTTAATAAACTTTGTCTGAAGCTCCAACTCTCACCTGTGACAGGCTCACCACACACGTGGTAGATTTTTCTTGCATGAGATTGTCAGATTGGACTCAGTCTTCACAGATCTGCATGAGTTAAACATCCATCTGTTATGGTCCTCTTCCACTAGCACCCCTCCCAGCTCTTCCACTGATGCTGACAACATATTGCTCTGACAGTGTTTAATTATCACACTCCCTGACAGCTGTATTCCAAGAGAAAAGARCAAATCTTGAACCTGCACCAAGCCTGCCATGCATCRTCTGTGACCAGCTCAGTTGTAACCTGTAATATGGAAGGGTTGCCACCCCAAGATGGTAACAGTTTAGGGCATAACATCTCCAAAGGCACATCCAAGTACAACCAAGTAGAAGAAGGGATCCAGATCTTAGAGCAAAGGAGAGCACACTGCTAGATATACAGAGCTGCTTTTGTCCGTGAGAAGGTTTTGTAAAATGAACAGTATTAATACTTAACCTCTTTCTGTGGACATTTACACATTGTGCACCTACCATTAAGAGCTGAAATGATTTGGGATATACCACTTAGATTCTTCATGTTCTAGTGAAAAAAGGACATACTCGGAAATCAAACCAAAGATTACCATTCTGTTACCAAGAGAAGCATTATCCTTCTCTGCAATATGCACCAATGTAAGAAAATAAATATGTATTTTGCAAAATKAAATGAGAGAGGAAGCACAGCAATATGAAAGAGATACAGACTAGAAGAATTTGCAGTCCTAGGTAACCAGATTATTTTCCTTCTACTCCACTTGATCAGGAATGCCTGTTYCACATCAGCCTATTCCATGAGCATTTTGAGGAATGCTCTTCTCTTGCACACTCTAGAAAGAATAGATTCACAAAAGAAACTTTCAAGAGCACATACAGAAAGTGAACATTAAAAGAGAAAGAAGAACATGGAAGATGTAATGTTTCCTTCACAAAAGAAACCTTTAACTAAAATTTTAAGCAAATTTCCTGGCCCACAGATCAGGGYTTCCCCTGCTTAAGTCCTACTGATTCAATCTGTCAGAATGCACTACTTCCTTAGGATAGCATTATCATTCATGCACCTTTTTAATGGGATCTTTTTTGGTGGAAGGTAAGATTGTAGCTATTAAATTAGTATTAGGGTAGTCACAGTCTAGTGGTTACCCAGATAACCACTGGGTTATCTTTTATCAGTTCCTGAATCCAAATCTTTCAAGTAACTTTAAAGTAGTCACACTCCTTACAGCAATCAAAACATGAAGCAAAGTCATTGAATGAGACAGTCTGTTTGCTCAAAGAAGTCTGAAGACAACTAGAATACATTCATCTCAGTGGCTGCACCAAGGAAGACAAATGCAGAAATGGATTTATATTTTCGTTCTTAAACAAAATAAATACAGAAACAAAAAAGKACAAAGAGCCAAAGATATACTACAGATGAGAAGGGCTTCCCCATCTCTTCTCGCAGTGTGACAGTCCTTTCCAGGTAACAGCTAAGTCAAAGTGTAAGTCTGGAATATGGAACTTGACAGACAAATACATGACAGGATGAGGCAAGACTTSATCTTGGGGACAAGTGATTTGCTGTGAGGGTAGTACAACCTACCGCTCAGTTATGTCTTGTAAACTATAAAATGAAGTGTTTCATTCTGTGCCTTGTGGTTGCTGCTTTCCTAAATTGCCAACAGGACATTTCAGTAATTTGGAGAGTAGCACACCTAAAGAGGTGGAGGTTCTTCTCTTTTTGCTGATTACATGTTTTTAAAATCATGGCTTAAAGTTTCTGGATGTGCTGCTTCTCAGTTCTAAAACACTTTATGCAAAAGCCTGAAGAGGGAACACACCAAAGACACTACATGAAAAGAACACTACACAAGGAATTCTGGAAGATGTAATCTCCATCCCTATCTAATGGAAAATGGGCTACATAAACAGAGCAAGCCAATGGCCAGCAGCTCAGTTTACAATGCACTTGCAGCCAACAGCGTCCGTATCCCACCCTTTACTACCTTTAGTGCAAAGGCCTGGGATGACTCTAGTTGCCATATGAAATTCAAGAAAAACACCCACACTGGCACTTTTTCCTGATATACCTATCTCCTACCTGTGGGTGGGGATGGCCAAGTTCTCAAAACACTTGGGACATTTCTTCTGCTGCCTGAAATAAGGGAAGCTGACGTACACATGTAAACATATCATTCACTAAGAAAAGGGCAATGATGCAATACAAACTATTACATTACACCGAGCGGGTCACAAGCTATCATGGAAGTTTAGGGTTCGTATGTCAATTAGCCAGCATAATGGCAGTCTGCTCTCTCACAAATGCAACTTTGTTTTAGAGATCAAGCTTCTGTACATTCATTCGGAAAATAAGATCCTTCTTCCAAATGCTGCTAGTTTACAACTCCAGCCTCTTCAYAGAGTCTCTCCTTCCAAGCGTCCAGTCCACTCCTCCAGCAGCAGTCAACAAAACACCATTAGGCTGGTTCTGGGCAGCACACAGGCAAATGAGCCTGCAGTAAGAGTGTTCAGGTAACATAGTAGCTTCCATTATAATGAGATTCTTCCCGAGAGTCCTCACTCTCACAACGGCTCATCGACAAGATGGAGTAGGTGGAAGAAGTGATACCACTGTCATTGTCTGTGGCTGGTTTCACCATCACTGCATTCAAAACATAGATAAAAAAGTTAACTGTGACCACTGTACCCACAAGTGCTAAATTACTAATTATCTTTGAAACTATATTATAGCTTCTGTCAGTCTGCAATAGGTCTTTCAAGCTGCAGGATATAGGCCTTTTGCTTTTCTGTTTTCAGCATAAAAGAACAAAGGTTTGGGAGTTATTTGTTTGCTTGTTTTCTTAAGTGTTCTAAAAGTGTTCTGTATGTCTTTTCCAATTAAGGTAACACACATAAGGAGGTGACATTCCCCATTCACAGGCACACAATTGGCAATAGAAGTGATTAACTATTACAGTGCCTTGCCAGGTAAGAGAGGGAAAGAAAAAATGTGGTAAGGGGCTCTCAAACAAGTAGTGACTGTTCAGGACATTTACAGCCTCATCAAAAGCTTCATCTGTTTAAGACTGCAAGCTCTCCTTCTGGTGCCTCTGCTAATAAGGCTCTTAGAAAGGTTTCCTGGGAAGCTCTGACAGCTTCTCAAGTGCCACTTGCAACATTATTCTTTTTTCAGCACGTATATTCTTCAGAATTAATTTTAAATAGATATCTGCATATCAATCAAAATGTTTCCATCACTGAACAAAAAGACACACAGAAACCATTTCACCTTCTAGCTGAAGCATGTCAGGGTGAATCYAAATGATTTCCTGCTCATAGTTATTTCTGAAGGTAAGCTGTGAACTCATTTGCTTTTTGTTCAAACAAGGATGAAGAACATTGGTTTTGCAATGATGGGCTCCAATAAAGGCACCCCTTCAGCTGGTGCCCATTAGCTACCTGATGAGACACTTCAGGGGTGCTGTGGCACTCCACAGACGCACACATTGCACAAGGGCTGCCTCAGCTCTACAGAGGTGAAAGCAATTCTCAAAGCTCAGCCTAGCAGCCTCTGAACAGTGCAGCATTTCCTGAGGAAATCAGACTAAGAGGGTTACATAAGTTATAATTTCAGGCTTGAACTAAAGCACTGCTTACTGATGTCATTCTMTATCACCGTGAAGTATCTGAAAAGTTTCAAAAGCACCTTTCTTTTGGTAAAAGGCCTGACACATTGCAAAATGAACGATGATGCACTCATCTCTATGAAGCGAAGAAAACAAGACAATTAAGGGAACACAGCAACAGAAGTTTAAGGAGAAGCCGGAAGACATTTACATTTTAGCACCTAGATACCAGTGTCAAGTGCTCTAGAAACAAATTTAGAAGAAGGAAGCAGGTTAGGAATAACCCATACTGGTGTTTTTMTTAAAGCCATCTCCATCATGCACACTGTTTTAGCAACAACTAGGCAATATGTGATGCCTGTAAGCCACAGTGGCTTTAATTCCACAAAAATAAATATGTCAGAGCAACTGTCAATCAGCCATACACTTACATGATATACCACTGTCCCTTTCAGGGATTTCCTACATAAATCTAGCACATGGAAAAGAATTCAGAGCTTCTCATCRGACCTGCTGAGTTTGGGTAATTATGTACTCCGTAGTTTAATCAAAAGTGCCTGGCAAATTTTTCAGGGACTGTTCTATATATTTTCCTTTTATTTAATGGTTTCTTTGAAAGAGCATAACCTTTAGCATGATTAAATTGTTCCAGCTAGACTGGGGAATTCATACTGAAGCCTTTTTCCAAAATTTGTATTAATTTTATTTTACTGTGCAGTAAAGCTCATCACTCAAGAGATCTCATTATTATTTTTCTAGAGTTTCTGCATCATTCCTCAAGCATCTTCTTGGTATATAGGTGCCAAAGAAAGCAGTACAAAATAGACAGAGAAAGRGATTGTACTTATCATGCCACATCCACCCACCTCTCACCTTTCCGCTCTCTGATAAGGGTCAGACGATGCTCTTTCATTTCCACATCCAGTTTTTCTACCATCCTGTTAATGCAGTTATCCAGCACCAGAGAGCGCGTCTTTGATTTGATCTCCTGTCTGCAGATGGGGCACTCCACTTTACGCTGYGTCCACTGATCGATACAGTAGGAGCAGAAGCTGTGTGCACAGTTCAGTGTGACCGCCTGTGGAATTCAGCAGAAGGATACTGGTCACAGCATGCTCACACATGCACTGTAAAGCGAAAACATACTGAATACAGGGAATATTAGGTGAGTACTTTGTATAAGCAAAGGGACTAGAGAGCCCAAAGCCTTTGTGTGTGTGCAGTGGTCACACACACACAAACTCTCCCATGCTAGAGCTCAGGCCACTTTTACAAGTCAGTTAATGGAGCAATGCACTGTCATAGCAAGTCAGAAACAGACAAAATGTATTAATTTTACTACAAATGTCCCCARTTTGAAAAGGATAAATTATGGAAAAACTCAGATACTGCAGGATAGCATCTTAATATATGGAGAAAYCAGAAATTAAAATTTCAGCTAGCTAGCTCTTGAGCCATTATAACAAGGCTAACACATCAGGTTTCCCATAGTAAAAAAGAATGCAATGAAACTAAAGTTGTAGCAAAATATGAAAAAAATAAGAGTCTACGTGTCCGGCATAGCCTATTATATTTAGAATCAAATTAAAACAGGCCAATTTCCCAAAGAAAGTGTTTTWATGAACAATATGAACAGCTCAGGACTTGATTGAATATTGTACCTCTCTTCTTATTATAACCTCTTCATATATCTCAACCTCAAACAGGCCAACTCTAGTCAGTTTAAACCAAGATCCACTGCAAAATAATTCTTCTCCAAGCAGCTGTCAGCAGCAACTCAGAGCACCAGTTCAAAAATCCACACAAGTGCTCCAAACTTAYGTGCCTTTTAGGAAAAGCCCTCATATATATGCAGGTAAAGACATTAAAGCTGAATTTGCTGTCCAGAAGAGTCAGGGCAGACAGAATAGATTTCTGGATCAACCCTTTCCCGTAACAACTCACTGTGGGTCTGTTGGGACTGTTAAAGTAGTGAAGCAAAGAAAAAGGCTTAAATATTGCTTCAATTTTTTTTTACTGGCAAACCATACAAGCTTAAACATACCTCAATGAAGTGCTCAGAACAGATTGTGCACTGCAACTCATTCTCCAACACATCATTCATCTGATTCAACACCTCTTCTTTTTGGGCTCTCACTTTTTCCTTCTCCTCCTAGTGGAAAAGTGCATGGTTGTRTATCAGCAAAGAATAAGGTTTTAGTCAATTGGCAGGAAGTGTGTGTGCAGGAGAAGAAAATCATACTGCAAATCTCCACATGTCAAGTGGAGTGGGTATCTATTATATACCCAGGTCTGTAGTGTCTCTCCTCTTTGTACTCTAAGCAGTATTGAGAATATTCCCACCCACTACAGAGAACTTAGAAGAACAGCAACTGTTACCAAAATTCYCTTCAGCCCAAAGGAACTATCAGCTGATCAATCTTTTCAGAATCTTTTTCAACCTGGGAAGTTTGGCTTTAATCAAGAGTTTTTTTGATGTTTGATATAAAAAGCAAAACACCCAATAGACAAAACACCTTAAATGTTAAAAAAAAAAGGAAGCATTAAAGTTTAAAACATTTAGTTGCATTTAACAGCCCAATAATATTTTTCTTAGATTACTAAGGGTTAAATTGGGCTGATTTGGCTACTCTATCTTCTAAAAAGAACAGGAAAAAAAAAAATCTTCTAACTGAAGCCATAATTGAAATAGCAACAGATTTCCAAAGATGACATTAAAAAAAAAAAGAAGAAGAAAACTGTCAGTGGTGGATAATTTCCAAAAGTAAGACACAGGAAAGGATCTCCTTAATTATTTTCCATTCACCACTTTGCATCAAGGACAGTAAGAACAGTGGCTTATTCATTATTCAAATTCCATGTTGCTTCAGTCCTACACTGCCTTACAGAACTGCTGTCACACTGCAGTTTACTTGAATGCCCTTTAACTGAAAACAAAGCACCTCACTTTTCAAACACTTTTGGTTGGTCAGTCAGTTTATTTCCTGCTGTTTATGATTTAGGTTTTATTTTGTTTGTTTTTTAMAGAAAGGGGCAATGGGCCCTCTTCTCTTCCATAATAAACAGTTCAGATGCTTTGGACTTCCTTTATCGTGGAGAAAGATCTAGTAACAACTGTTCAACACTAATTTATGAAAAGCACAAGGTGCTTCCCTTACCCAYTGCTGGAAAGCAGAGTCCACTGCCACCCCACAACACCAAAATTTTGCACTACAGGAGGCCACGCAGAGTCAAGCCAAACGTTAAATAAACCATTCCCTCTGCTGCAGCATATCATGTTTCATTTATGAATAAAACTAAGAATGCACTTATTCCTTACCTTGGTTTCTTCCAGCTCTTTATTCTTGGCTTGAATAATCTCCTCAAAATCTTTTTTACTACGATTCAGTTCTTCCATCAAAGCACGATGCTGTAACAATACCATTCCAGAAGTCATAAAAGTGCTATCATAAGCTATCCTATTAAAGATACATGGTCACAGTCATAAGGTTCAGCATACTCATTTCTCCTAATCTCCTCTTAGAAGAGCAACATATATGAGTTCAGATGTTAAGGCAGTATATCCTTACATATATCCTTCCTATAACTGGAATATACTGCCAGTTACTTATGACCTTCGTAGTGCCATCACACTTTGCATTCCCTCTCCCAGGTTACCCTTCCATTTCAGTCAGATTTTACAGTCACCTAAGGCAAAAGCCTTGTCTTCTACCAAGAGACCACAGCACTTAGGAATATTTAAATATCCAAGTTACACAGTTAGACCAAACCTATACTCATAACCACTTGCCTCTTGCAGGACCTGGGCCAGCTGCTCCTTCAGATTGTCTTCCCCTTGTTGCCACTTTTCTCCCTGGGTGGGATAAGAAACGAAAAAAAAAAGATGACTTGAAGAACATAAGAGACAGAAAGCTCCTACTCTGGACACTACCTTTAGAGGATATGCTTAAAGAAACAACACTGGTTTTCAGCAAACTGCAAGACGTTCCACTCTAGTACTGTAGGTGTGTCAGAGAAATTATCATTTACTGAGAAGAGTTAAAATGGATATAACATTTGCAGTTCCATATTTAGAATACCTCTATATTATTCTAGCTCTAAAGGCACCAGCATGTTTATAGAAGCAAAGTGTTCAGTAACTGCTTAAAAGCTGCAACTCTATCTTTGAGCACATTCAAAGAGGTCGGAGATATCTAAAGCTCCAGGTAAACTTCCCATTGTTTCTAAGGATACAATTCCATACTTTGTCTACTTCTGGTACTGTTACCTTGCTTTAAAGACTTTAAAGGAACTGACAAATTATTAAACTCACTCCAAGATGAATCCTTACTTTCTTTAAACCAGATTTTGTGCAGTCTCAAGTTCGAGCAGATTTTAGTCTGCTACCAAAAAAGCTACTTATCACATACACTTATTGCTTAAAGGTACTTACAGATTATCAGGAAGATTTTTTTGAATATATGAAAAAAATCTGCCTCCCTACAGGGATTAAGGCATGCAATAATTCATTGCTTGTAAAGACAGTGCATTTGCCATGCAAACTGGACATTATTTCAGCCACATACAGAAAGAAATTCACACTTGAAGTTATTACTTTTCAACCTGTCCTCTCCATAACCACAATAGATCAGGCAAAGACTTTCATTTTTTCCTTAAAAACAGGCTTCTCTACCAACTGAAATGCTTTATTTTGCACCTTTTTCCAAATTCCCCATGCAGCCAAATCCCTTCTCTCTTGGCACTTTCTTTTGGTACAGGTACTGTGCTACATACTAAGTTAAGTATTTCCACAAAAATTTTAGCAGGGGTGTTGTGGGTTAAGGTTTCTCCTTTTGTTTCCTTTCTTGGGGAATTTTCTTTCCCATTTTGTTGCTGGGATACACTGATTGCCGAGTCATTCTTTTGATGGCTGGGCCATTGGGGAAGACAAAAGAACCCACCCAAAGGGCACTCCTCCTGCCTGGCAATTTTTTTCCCCTCTCTTTGGAGAGAGGGAAGTTCTAGGGGGAGTTTTAGGCTCTGGGAAGGCGCGCGCTTGTGTGTGTGTGTGTGTCTGTGTGTGTGTATGTGTGTGTGTGTGTGTGTGTGTGTGTGTGTCTGTGTCTGTGTGTGTGTGGGGCGGGAGGTAGCTTCACTTCCTGCCTTGCTTGGCTCAGGGGAGGACAATGGACCTGCTGCTGCAGAATCCAGCGTCTCCGGTCATCGGTTCCTGTTTGCTGCACTGTGATCTTCTGCCCCCCCATCCCGTGCCTTGCTGGGAACCCTTGAGATTCCAGCTGCAGTGGTCGAGTTCTGCTGCATCCCGTCTGCAGCCGCGGGATTCTGCTCGTCTCTTTGCTCATCTGGCCATTCTGAGGTTTCTTGCTGTCCAGAGGAGCACAAAGATCGGCGTTTTCCCCTGTGAGTTTGCAGAGGAACCTTTTCTCCACTCATCTCTGCCGGTTTGTGTCCACCATTGGCCACGCGGGAGATCTGAACCAGCCGGGACCCGCGGCACAGCGCCCCCTGCAGCCGCCGGGGAATCATCGCACCCGCCCTGCCCGGCCGGGAGCCAACAGCACCCCTGCCGGCTGGGACTGTAACTGCACCAAAGGGGAGGGTGTGTCTGTGTGAGGCTGTCATTGGGTTTGTGGGTGGGTTGGTTGTTGCTATTGTTACTGTTACTTGTTTCACCTTGTTATACACATTAGCAAAAACTGTTACTACCTTTTACCCATATTCTTGCCTRAAAGCCTGTGATTTTCAAAGCTACAATAATTTGGAGGGAAGGGAGGTYATATCCACCATCCAAGGGGGGTCCCTGCCTTCATTGGCAAACACTTGTCTTTCAAACCAAGACAAGGGGTAATTCACACAAACACTATTTATGTTACTTTACAGTTCAGGTATTTTGAATCAATGTCTTATACAACACATTCCATAGAAGTAAAGACATAGGTCAAAATTATTACCACTATTATACCTCTAGCTTCTGCTGCTCTTTACAGAATGTCCTCTCCAGCTCTTCCACCTGCTGCTGTTGATGCTCTTGTTCCATGCACAGTTGGTTCTGCAACTCCTGGAGCTCCTGTTCCATGACYAGGATCTCCTTCTGATCACACTTCCTGTGCTTCTGCTTCACATTCAGAACTGCAGTCTGCTTCTCCTGCAATTTGACCTTTAATTTCATTGTATCTACTAGAGACTTCCTCAACATTTTCAAGCCAGTCCATGACTCTGCAAGACCAGAGCTTTTCTGGTCCTTTTGAGGGACAGACAGAGCTTTCTTGGAGTGAACAGGGCTATCATGCACTGGACCACTATCCCCCTCACTGTGTCCACAAGAAGGCAGCATGACATCCATCTTCTCAGTTACTCGTCTGGCCTCTTCTACCCGTTCCCATGATTTATCCAAAGGTTCATTGTCACAGGCTACCCTGTCTCTTTTGCATCTGGAGTTTGAGGGGCCTTCTGATCCAGATGTCTCCAATTCCTCCAAATTAAATTTACGTTTCATTCTTGAACTCTTAGCTTTCCCCAGGTCACTTCTCTGGGCTAAAAAGGGTCTAATTTTCTCCCATTCCTCTTTAATTACTTCATACTCATACTCAGCAGTCTCTCTGTTTTCCAAAGGCACTCCCAACTGGATACGGTCTCCTTCAGAAATAGGATAGACTTTTGATGGATCCAGGCGTTGTTTGTTAAGCCAGACTCCATTTAGACTCTGCCAATAAACACAGAATCACCAAAATTTAACAGGTAGTTACAGAGTCCTCTGCAAGTTATTTCTGGCTATTGTAAACACAACCAACCTCTTCAGTGTTTTAATCAGAACCAGCCACCTCTTTAAATAAACCTTGCAATATCCAATTTATTGGCTCAGTGTKCCACTGATTACAGCTACTGCATTGTATCATTTACTGCACATTATTCATGCATTGCAGATTTTGTGTACAAGCACCGAGAAAACATTTTGACATATGTGCTTGTGCAGAAGGAAAAGAAGGAACTCTGAAGGGAAAAAAAAAACTGCACAAAAAAAACTGCACAAAAAAACTGCACTTCAGAAATAAAAACTAACCAATAAAAAGACTGCCATAGATCATTGTCAAGAACATAGAATACTGCAGTAATTATTCTTGACAATTAATGTTACCTGAAATTCCAGGGGGAAAAAAAGGAAAGAAAAAGAAGCATTGGTTATATTCCTTGAAGAAAACAAAATAACATTTTCCATCAATACAAGAAGAATATAAGGAAGAAGGAAAATATTCTAGAGATAATGTTCAAAGCACAAAAAGGGTTTTAAAATTAGCTCAATAAATAGTTTTCAAAACCAGGAAAACTGATCTGYGCTCACAAGGAACTGCAGAAACATTAGGAACTGACATACCTCAAAGAGAGTCAATGAAACAAGCTGATCAACTGGTCAACAGCAGTAATAGAGAGGAAGTGTTAATAGTTAATCTATGGTAGATGTTTCCTATCATGCAGTAACATGTTTTCAAGTTTATATGTCTATTGTTTAAAAGCAGTGTAATTTTAATAGCAGCCATTCCACTCCTTTCAGACTAATCTGCTGCTGGCCCAAACATCCTTCAAATCTAGATGAYGCGTTGAACATTTTTGTTCTACCAGTAGTGTTTTAAAGCAAATTACTCATTTTACAGTTTTCAGACTGAATCAGAAAGTGAAGGATCACGATATAAAAGAACAGGTTATTGTAGTTAAAGTGAGATCTAAGTGGGGACTCTGATCTCAACTTTTTATTCTAATCAGCTAAGAAGAACTTTCAGAAGAAACTCATTCGAAYACAAATTGAAGCATGGTTGTTCTAAACCAGATTCTTGTTGAAGTTGATTTTAATTAAAGCAATTGTGTCATTACAATAAAGAGCTGCACTTTTATCCTTTCATTAGCACTRCAAGAACATTATCCTTTTGAAGTATAAAATCCTATGCCAAAATTCATAGGATTTTTTAAAGAAAGTGACATAGAACAGGCTCACAGACTGTAAAGTGCCCTTGGCAAGGCCACAATGGTCTGAAAAATGCTAAACCAAAAGGTGGATCTACACACAGAAAGTAATATAGTTTGCATCCCAACTGCAGCAGACTGAAGTTTCCTCCTGGAAGTGCACAACAGGCAAGAYACATTCTCATGGACCTTCTATCACACTTGTATCATACTGTATCATAGCCCATACATTGCTGGATCCCAAACAATAGATTCTTTTCARTGAATCTCAGAGTACAAGGTCTTCAATCAGTCTCTGTACCTTGTTATCCTTGACAGTCCAYTGGCCTTCTGCATTCTGCTGGAAGACGCAGTGCTTACGAGAGATCATCAAGGGACAGGTTTTTGACACCAGCTGGTACGTGATATCTAATCCTCGGCCTATAGTCACCTAAAAATAAAGTAGTTTAGTAACTGCAATCAGYAATGACATGGTAAATTCAGTTTACATAACTTCAATTAAAGTACAGCAAAACTCTAGATCAAAATCCAATAATTATTTCCAAAGAGTCTGGCAAAATATGATTTTTTTCATTTAAATTCAAGAGTAGATAGAAAATGRAAGCTTACAAAGTTTGAAGTATTATCTTTCTCTCCCACTGAAGAAAATTTTATTTCTCTGAGGCACATTACAGCCTTAGTTTCACAGAAATCTTCCTCAGCAGCAGGGCTGCTCAAAGCCACTCACCCACCTTATTCATTATCTACCCAAGCACCATTTCTTCAAACCAGCACTATTGTGTGTGTCTCAAGATTACTTCTTACCCTCTTCWTTTGCTAGTTGCATTTGTTCAACTGTTTGTGAACAAGAAAGATATAGGAAAAAATAGCCCAGAAAACTGCCATCAAAAAAGTGCACACTCAACATTGCCCTAAATACATGACACTTTTGTAAACCACACCGTCAGTCTTATGGCTCAGAATCTAAGCCCCACCATAACCAGTAGTGAAAGTGATCTAAATAATTGCATTAGATTCTAATGCTATCTTCTGGAAGAAGGGACATAATTTAATTGTACCATTCCACAGTATCTTATTAAATCTGATCTAATTTCAGATTGCCATTTMAAGCACATCCCTGCTCTCCCTCCCTCTGCTGCCTCCTCTGCCTTCTCTTAATTCATCTGTGCATTACCTGAGCAGGTCTCACCTTGAGTTTAAGAACTCAGACTCCCATGTTATAACCAAAGGCAACGAAGCAAACTAAGATGACAAAAGCAAACTTAACTACATGGGCACCTACCTCTAAAATATTTCATATATTTTAGTGTTCTGTCAGCATGGCTTGCATATGTAAGAGGCACRGTGACTAGGGTGGATAAAGACTCCCCTCTTCATGGGGATTCAAACATACGTTCAGCTTTGCACTGGTCCCTGCATGGCATCCTCAGGGCCTGGTCACACACATCTGCAAGGCCTCACACACCAATGAGTGAGACCACACAGGACCAGTCACAAAACTCCTCCTTGATCAAGTTCACTCAGCAAAGAGGGGTCCACTCTCCTGCTGGAGTTCCGTGCTGCCCACAGCAATACCAGCAAGTCACAGCACATCCCCACACCTTAGCCGTGTCCTTTAGCACCGAAGTGGTCACAGCACCAAGCCTGAGAAGGTTCAACAAGTGTTTGGACAACACTCTCAGGCATGTGGTGTGATTCTTGGGGCTGTCCTGCRCAGATTCAGGAACTGGACCCAATGATCCTCATGGGTCCCTTTCAACTCAGAATATTCTGTGACTATGATTTAAATCCCCAGAAAACTCAGTTTGTGCTCTGTGGCCTGGCACACCTGCACCACCAGGATCCTGTCAGCTTTCCTGCAGCCTGTGAAAACCACTGTGTAGGTAATCAGAGCAGCAATACCCCAAACTGGATTCTCTGCATAATTATCAGAGCCCTGGCTGCAAGTTCTCCAGATGTATTACCTCCAGTCCTTCACTAAGCACACCTGCACACCTCAGGACTTCAAATCCACGATGGGAGAGTATCCGTTTGGTTAGCGATGGGTGCCTTTTTGCGATGTGTGAGCACAAAGGAGTTGGCCACMGCATCACCCTCACCATCTACCTGCCTGGTTTTGACCACCAGAACAGCAATCCTCTTACACTGCCCCAAGCTCACCACACGTGTTTGCCTGCTGGATTTTAGAGAGGAGTGCCGGGGCCCATTTTTCAATTCAAAAACACGATCGCTGAAAAAACGCGATTTCATTTACATCTGAATACCTTAGGCCTTATGGACTCTTAACCTCACCAAAACATCGCGTTGTTATTTAGCCAACTAACTCCCTCCGTCCTCGCTTACTTTACCGTCACGCGAAGAACTCTTATCTAAATACGACATAGAGTTCATCGATATGAACAAGCGAAGGCTTGGCCAAGGCGACTCCAGTGCCGGGTCCAGCCCCGCCCTCCCTGGCGCGTTACCGGGGCTGAGCGGGGCCCGCTCCGGCTGGGCCTCTCCGAACAGCCCCGAACGGCGGCTGCTCCCGAGGCGGGACGAGGCGCTGCTTTCCCCTCCTGGGAAACACTATAAGGAACGAGACCCCCGACACAATGCGCTCCGAGGGTCGCTCGCCCGCTGCTCCGAGGGCCGTGCCCACCCGCCCGCTCCGAGGGCCCAGAGCCCGGCGCGGCTCACCTGCGTGCCGGCCTCCAGCAGGAGCCAGTCGCAGCTGGCCCCGACCCGGCGGAGGCACCAGGCCAGGCGCGGCGCCCCACGCACCGCCATGGCGCCCGCCCGCTGCGATCGTCGGGAGCGATCGCTGAGCAGCGGCGGGGACGGCGCTCGCACGGGACGGAACGGGGCGGGGCGGCCGCCGCTGACCGAGCTCGGCCCGCCACCGGACCCCGCGCTTGCGCCGCAGGAGCCCGCGGGGGCGATGGCGCGGCCCTTTCCCACCGTCCCGCSGTGCTCCCCCGCACTCCGGCCGTGCTCCCCCGTGTCCCGCCTCCCCCTCGCACCGCCCCTTCCGGGCGCTCCGGCTCTGCCATCCGCCGTACAGCGCTATGGCTGCGGCCGCCCGGCTGCGGCGGCGGGTGCTGCTGGCGGTGCCGTGGCGCTGGTGCTGCAGCCCCCGCCGCGGTGGTGCCTCCTGCCCGCCGGCGGGGCAGGTCCGCGCCGCCTTCCTGCGCTTCTTCGAGGAGCGCCACGGCCACCGCCGCCTGCCCTCGGCCCCCGTGCGGCCCCGCGGYGACCCACGCCTCCTCTTCGTCAACGCGGGCATGAACCAGGTGCTCTCCCCGCTCCCGAACGTCCCCTCCTACGGCTCCCCGGCGCTTCCGCGTCTCCGGAGGAGCGCAGCCCGGCTTGGGATGGCCCCWGCCAAGGAGGTCTCCGGCGGTGCTTTGGGCTGCCCGCGCCGCCGCCCTCCCGGTTACCTCTCGTAGTGCTTTGGGAGTCTCCTTCAGTGCCAATATTCAAGAGATGTCGACACAATGCTGTGCCATGTGTTCTAGAAGCAACCTGCTTGAGCAGGGAGGTTGGACSAGAGGACCCACAGTGGTCCCTTCCAGCCATTCTGTGTTTCAGGAGCCCCAGGYGCAGCCCCCTGCGCTGGGTGGCATCTGTCAATAGCGGGTGTCTGTCATTTCCAGTTCAAGCCCATTTTCCTGGGCACGGTGCATCCCCGGAGCGAGCTGGCCCAGCACCGGCGGGTGGTGAACAGCCAGAAGTGTGTGCGTGCGGGAGGGAAGCACAACGATCTGGAGGATGTGGGCCGAGATACGTACCATCACACCTTCTTCGAGATGCTGGGCAACTGGTCCTTTGGGGATTACTTTAAGGTGAGGTGATAGGAGTAAGGAACCCTATCTGGGGGAAAACATGGCCTTTCTTTCAGAGCTCTGCCTGTAGTGCCATAGGACTGTGTGTAGAAGGTGTTTTGGTCAGATCCACATTACTTCTTGGCAGCTCTGTGGCCTGGAGCAGAGGTGGTCAACTGGTGGGCTCTATTGCTAAATGTGCCCTGCAAGACTCTCCAAGCACTCAGCCTGTCAAAGCTGCAACCAGTACGTACAAAACGAAGTTCTCTGTGAGAATGCCAGCATTGACCACTTAATATGGTGAAAAGAGGTCATTAGTTCATTTGATACTTATTACTAGAAAGTTTGAAAAGAAAAGAGGAATAAAGGATAYTAGATTTTTTAGCTAGCAAATATATTTTTTCTCTGGAAAGATGATAATCCATTAACTCTGCCAGTAAGCACATAGATGCACACCTTGCTGAAAGTCTCACAACCTTCTTTAGGARTGTCACTTTTCCACTGGCAGYAGTGAGCTGTGTCACTCTCCTGACSTCATCCTGCTCTTTGCAATACACCTGAAAATTGAAAAGGAAGAGAACAGCTAATTGGAAAGGGAGAGCAGAGCTGAAATTATCTTCTTTGTTGTTTTATTCCTATTCTAAAGACCATTCCTGAATTACTGTGCTTCRTTTGTGTTCCCCTACCTGCTCAGGAGGAGGCATGTAGCATGGCCTGGGAGCTCTTGACAGAAGTCTACGAGATCCCTAGAGATCGTCTCTATGTTACCTATTTTGGTGGAGACCCCTCGCTGGGGCTGAGCGCAGATGAGGAGTGCAGGGACGTGTGGCTCCGCCTGGGGTAAGTGTGTTAAGAAGAGGTTCTGAGCAGCAGGTGCTGACATTTCACTCTACACAGTTTCTCATTTGCTCTTTAGTTCATGGGCATCAGCTGCAGGGGCCAAAGGTAAAGTTTTACATTCATGTTGTTTCTGGTTTGTTTGGGCTGTTAAAAGTCAGCTGGGCTCTGAGCTTACTGGGTCTCTTGAACTTTTGGTTCGTTCTCAGATGGTGTCAGTGGGGGCAGCTATGTGCCTGAAACTGGCTGGCCTGGTTGAAGTGTGTACAGGATCTCCAATCCTTTGCTTCCTCCACATCATAAGAATACATTCTCCTAAGAAAGCTAGCAGTGGCTGCTTCAGTGAGAGGGTGCAGCTGCTGCAGAGAGCACTGCTGTGCTTTGGGAGCTTGTTCCAGGCTGTATGTGGGCTTTGAACCAAAGGCAGCCAGCTCTGTGCCACTGTTGTCATTCTGTCTTGTGTGCTGTGGTCAGGTCTTGCATCTGCKCCAAGGACCGAGGTGCTCCACAGACCCAGTGGAGAGCCTGTCTCTGTCAGCAGGGACCAGGCTGTGTTTGCCAGTTTTTCTGGGCTGAGACCAGGGTCCTGTCTGGTTTGGCCCAGCTTAACTTTGCTAGGGAGAGAAATTCTGCGTGAACAGAAGCATAGGAATTCTAATGTGTTTGCTTATTCAGTTTGTAGTAGGAAGAAAGGATTCCTTCCTTCCAACTTTCTCTTTTCTTTCTTCAGCTTTCTCCGATTTGTCTGTGTGCCTCACCACTGCCACCTCTGTTGTTTGCCTTTCCAGGGTACCTGCCAGTCACGTGCTTCCTTTCCCATTGAAGGACAACTTCTGGGAGATGGGGGACACAGGTCCCTGTGGCCCCTGCACAGAGATCCACTATGACCATGTGGGTGGTGGCAGAAATGCTGCAGCACTGGTGAACCAGGGCAGCCCCGATGTTGTGGAGATCTGGAACTTGGTCTTCATGCAGTACAGCAGGTACCAGACATCTCATCTGAACTCCATTGCTTTTCTCCCTAGCCTGACTCCAAAACCATGTGTATATKTTCAGACTTACCACTGTTTTCCATAAGGTGGCAATACCAGGAGCAAAAGAGAGGCCATGGAGATTTGTCCAGCATGGCTCTTGGTCCACTTTGCTTTACTTCCCTGTCTTCTTCAACTTTCACTGCCTATTCTCCCTTAATGCTGCATTCCAGAGGTCTCTTGAGGTCTGCAGCAGCCTGGAGAAGGAAGAGAAGGCCTTTGGCCCTGTTAGGGAAGGCCTTTTTCCTTCCCTGGATACATTCCAGCCTATCCTGACTATGTGATGCTCAGATCCTGGGTAGCTGACAGGGCTAAGGCAGGCTGCTGTCAGTCATATCCCTAAGCATCCTTGTGCTGGGTCACCCACTGTTTCCATCCCCTGTCACTTTCCCATTCTCYTTGATTCACCTGTTCCTTTTTTTTGCCCTTGAACTGATCCTTGCTTCTCTTTTGCCTTTTTCCTGTCTGACTGACAGAGAGGTGGAGGGGAATCTCCTTCCCTTGCCGCAGCACCATGTGGATACAGGAATGGGTCTGGAAAGGCTGGTGACAATTCTGCAGAACAAACGCTCCAACTATGACACAGATCTCTTCACTCCAATCCTGGATGCCATTCACAAGGTGATGGTGCTTCTGCTTGGAGTCACAGCTCAGCAAAAGCTCCTTAAGCACAGACTGCTTGCAAGATAACATAATACAGCCTTCTCTGCATGGTACTGAGCAGTATTTTGAGACAGAGGTTAGGTCCTGCCAGGCCCAATGTAGTGTTGTAGAAAACCAGGAGAATTCCAGGTTGGAAATCTGCTGGAATATCAGCACTGCTGATTCATTTTTTCCTTCAAGGTGTCTTAAATTTCTCAGTGCCAGGGCATTGGCTAACCTGTGTTAGGTAYGCAAGTCTTGATCTATAGTGCTGTGGAAGGATTTAATGAGTTYATCTCAGGTGTACAAGGTTCAGAGGTAGTTGAAAAAATTATGTCAAGCATGGCTGGCTGCCTCTTGCGTTGAAACTTCTGCAGCCATTAATTTCTGCTGATCTGTCTCSCTGCTTTCTCTTTTAGGGCTGCAGGGCACCCAGATACCAAGGTTTGGTCGGGGATGCTGATGTTGGGCGTGTGAACATGGCCTACCGTGTGGTGGCAGATCACGTGCGCACCTTGTGCGTGTGCATCACTGATGGCATCTACCCAGGCTTCTCTGGAGCAGAGTAAGGACATCAGGAAATGGCATGGGGTGGAGGGAGTTAGGTAGGTCTAGRGAGGAAAGGGAACAGCTAGGGAAGAGGTTCTGGTGTGGGCCCAAGATAGGGAGTGCATGAGCTTTTGCGGAGCAGGAAGATGAGAGCTGGGAAGGGGCTCCAATCTGCAGGTTCCAATCTGCATCCAAGCCAGAGTTTGGATTGGTGTAGAGTGTGGGGAGCAGCTGGTCTGTGTTGGTGAATCAGACCAGAGGAGCTGGGGGGTGCTGGGCAGGGACATTCACAAGGGTGCCGGAGGAATCCTGTCCTCTTTCCAGGCTGGTGCTGCGTCGGATGCTGCGCAGAGCTGTCCGCTTTTGCTCTGAAGTCTTGCAGGCTCCACCTGGGCTCCTGGCCTCCTTGGTGCCCACTGTAGTGGAAGTGCTGGTGAGTAAAACTGCTGCCTTGAGGGGAAAAAGGTCATCACACATGTCTTAGTCAGCCCTTTGTCCCTTTCCTGCACACTGTCAGGAGTYAATCTTGGATATGAAGGAACTCCAGGAAGGTGTACCAGATGCTATGCATTCCAGCAGTAAAGATCTCTTGTCCCCGATCACTTGTGATGGGAGGGAGGGTGCCTGGTGTGATCAATGGTACTGTCCGCACGAGCATGTGCAAGTGTGTGCAAGTGCATGCTGTTGTTTCTGAGGGCAGTGACTTCCAGGCTGTTGTATCTGGTTAAAGCCATCTGAAATTGGTCTGCATGAGTACTAACAGCATCCACAGCAACAGTGCTTTCTTTTGTGAATGGATGTGTTTGCCAAGAGATGCTGTGCAGGGGTTAGCAGAGGCTGGTCATGGGGAGATGGGCAGGAGATGGTCCATGCATGATTGTTCCCCTACACTGCTCACCCTGGAGCTGTGTGCTGGGGCTCTCTTCACACTCACCTGCCTGAGAAACCTCTATAATGTTTGTGATGTGCTG